ATATATATATATATATATATATATACATATATGCAACTGAAACCCTCCACGTTCTCTCACTCTGCACCATGACGTCCGTGGTGAGGGAGGAACCAGGTCCTGCGTGGCACTCGTAGAAGCCCGAGTCCTCCAGCGTCGCCTCCTGCACCGTCAGATACACGTTCATTAGGCCGTCGTCGCGGAGGTAGGTCTCCAGGCTGTACCGGCTGCAGGGCGGTTTCGAGCGGGGCGCCGTGAACCAGAAATCGACCTGGGGGGCGGGGGAGAGGGAGAGGGGGAGATGGATTAATGGTCCGGGGGTCGGGGTCGAGGGTATTCAAAGGGTTAATGGTGATTGTAAACGTTTTATAAGCTGAAGATATGAGTTAATTGGTCAGGAATGTGGAAATATGTGTGGGATGAATGGTTCATGGTAGACTTAAATGTGTTTTGAGCTTGGGATGAATGGTTCATGGTAGACTTAAATGTTTTTTGAGCTTCAATGGTTCAAGTGTTTTTAAGCTTAAGATCTGAGTTAATGGTCAGGAATATGTATGTGTGGGATGAATGTTCATGGTAGACTTAAATGTGTTTTGAGCTTGGGATGAATGGTTCATGGTAGACTTATATGTGTTTTGAGCTTGGGATGAATGGTTCATGGTAGACTTAAATGTGTTTTGAGCTTGGGATGAATGGTTCATGGTAGACTTAAATGTGTTTTTTGAGCTTTGGGATGAATGGTTCATGTAGACTTAAATGTTTTTTTGAGCTTGGATGAATGGTTCATGTAGACTTAAATGTGTTTTGAGCTGGTGAAACTTGTAGCTGGGATGAATGGTTCATGGTAGACTTAAAGTGTTTTGAGCTTGGATGAATGGTTCATGGTAGGTGTTTTGAGCTTGATGAATGGTTCATGGTAGACTTAAATGTGTTTTGAGCTTGGGATGAATGGTTCATGGTAGACTTAAATGTGTTTTGAGCTTGGGATGAATGGTTCATGGTAGACTTAAATGTGTTTGGAGCTTGGGATGAGACTTAAATGTGTTTTGAGCTTGGATGATGGTTCATGGTAGACTTAAATGTGTTTTGAGCTTGAGATTTGTGTTTTGAGCTTGGGATGAATGGTTCATGGTAGACTTAGATGTGTTTTTGAGCTTGGGATGAATGGTTCATGGTAGACTTAATGTGTTTGAGCTTGGGATGAATGGTTCATGGTAGACTTAATGTGTTTTGAGCTTGGGATGAATGGTTCATGGTAGACTTAGATTGTGTTTTGAGCTTGGGATGGTGGTTCATGGTAGACTTAAATGTGTTTTGAGCTTGGGATGAATGGTTCATGGTAGACTTAAATGTGTTTTGAGCTTGGGATGAATGGTTCATGGTAGACTTATATGTGTTTTGAGCTTGGGATGAATGGTTCATGTAGACTTAATGTGTTTTGAGCTTGGGATGAATGGTTCATGGTAGACTTAATGTGTTTGAGCTTGGGGATGAATGGTTCATGGTAGACTTAAATGTTTTTGAGCTTGGGATGAAATGGTTCATCTTATGTGTTTTGAGCTGGGATGAATGGTTCATGGTACTTAAATGTGTTTTAGCTTGGGACATGCTTAAATGTGTTTTGAGCTTGGGATGAATGGTTCATGGTAGACTTAAATGTGTTTTGAGCTTGGGATGAATGGTTCATGGTAGACTTAAACGTGTTTTGAGCTTGGGAGAATGGTTATGGTAGACTTAAATGTGTTTTGAGTTGGGAATGGTTCAGGTAGACTTAATGTGTTTTGAGCTTGGGATGAATGGTTCATGGTAGACTTAAATGTTGTTTTGAGCTTGGGATGAATGGTTCATGTAGACTTAAATGTGTTTTTGATGCATGGTGGGAGCTGAATGGTTCATGGTAAGACTTAAATGTGTTTTGAGCTTGGGATGAATGGTTCATGGTAGACTTATATGTGTTTTGAGCTTGGGATGAATGGTTCATGGTAGACTTAAATGTGTTTTGAGCTTGGGATGAATGGTTCATGGTAGACTTAAATGTGTTTTGAGCTTGGGATGAATGGTTCATGGTAGACTTAAATGTGTTTTGAGCTTGGGATGAATGGTTCATGGTAGACTTAAATGTGTTTTGAGCTTGGGATGAATGGTTCATGGTAGACTTAAATGAGCTTTTGGTTCATGGGTGAGCTTATGAACTGTTTTGAGCTTGGGATGAATGGTTCATGGTAGACTTAGCTATGTGTTTTGAGCTTGTGGAGCTGGGATGAATGGTTCATCGGTAGACTTCAAGACTTATATGTGTTTGAGCTTGGGATGAATGGTTCTGGTGACTTATATGTGTTTTGAGCTTGGATGAATGGTTCATGGTAGACTTAAATGTGTTTGAGCTTGGGATGAATGGTTCATGGTAGACTGTGTTTTTGAGCTTGGGATGAATGGTTCATGGTAGACTTAATGTGTTTTGAGCTTGGGATGAATGGTTCATGGTAGATTTAAATGTGTTTGAGCTTGGGAAAATGGTTTT